AAATATGATGTTAATTTATGCTTATTGCTTATGCATAATATTAGTAACATTGTTCTGTCTGCAGTATAGTGAAACAGGGGTAAAGGAGTACCTTTGGGCTCATACACATTACTTTGGTAATTGCCACACCCTGTAATCATCAGCCAGTCATACTGAGTTGCTATGGACATTTTCAAAATTTTTTCATTACATGCTAAGTATGTATGCAATTTTTACCCTTTATTTCTCCTTGACATTTAAAAATTGAGTCATATATCAAATAGTGCTGTATTTAGTCATTTCTTTTATAGTGTTTTGAGATACTTTGCTGAAAGAGATAGTTTTGAATATATGCGAAAAATAAAACAGTTGTTCTTTCATTATTTGGAGGTAGTTTACTGGAGTTCTGAAAGTAGGGTAAACTTAATTAACTAGATAGTGGGATAAAAGTCTAGTCCAGGGGTGGGTGGGGATATGTTTGTCATAAAGCAAAGAAAAATAGACAAGAGAGCTCCAATTTATAAAGATGTGAGAATTTTTGTCTAATTTTGGCATTTAAACTTCAGTCAAACTTGTATGTGTTTGGAGCATCCTTGCTACTGGTAAGTGGGCACTATGGTAAATAACAGTGATATACTTTTCTTCCTTTCTCTCTTCTCTTGCTCTCTACTTTCTTTCTTGGGATTGAATTTAGGGCCTCATATATGCTGAGCACATGCTACCACTGAGCAATACCCCATTCCCATACTAGTATAATTTTTTTAAAATCCCATTTCTTTCCCTTCATTCCAACTGAGGAAAATACTAAAACCAAGAATTTCCTCAAAATGAGATGCAAACAAGTGACAGTACTGGATCTAACTGTGAAGATTTTAATTCAGTACCCTATTATGTTCTTTCTATAGACTCTGTAGTTTGCAGTCTAACTGCCATCAGTATGCCCAGTATGCCATTTATGTATTTCTTTTGGTACCAGGGATTGAACCCAAGTCCACTAAACCACTGAACCATATCTCTAGCCCTTTTTGTTTGTTAGTTTTTTTTAATTTGGAGACAGGGTGTCTCTAAGTTGCTTAGGGCCTCACTAAGTTGTTGAGGCTGACTTTGAACTTGTAATCCTCCTGCTCAGCCTCTTGAGCTGCTAGGATTATATTCACGTGCCACAGTGCTTTGCTATACATATTTTTGCTATATATATTTCATTCGTGTGTGTGTTTGTGTGCATGTATATATTCAATCAAAACAAAATAATCATATTAGTTTAAATTCCAAAGCAATTGTGAGAATCTAAATGTCTTATATTAAGACACGATATTAAAGAAATTTGCAAAAATGTGAAATAATGCTACTCATCTCAATAATTTTTGTTGTTTAGGAAATCATTATTTTTAAATAACAATGTTATTTGTGTTGACACATAATACATTTATCATTGTTATTTTTAAATGAATTTATATTTAAAACTTTGCCTTTAAAAATTCCAAATATGATAAAACTTAGTAAGTATAACTATCATAACCAAAAGCTCTTCAAAATTCTCAATAATTTTATTTTTACTTTTTAAATTTGTTCTTATTAGTTATATATGACAGTAGAAAGCATTTTGACACATATACATAAATGGAGTATAATTTCTCATTCTTCTGGTTGTATATGATGTATACACTGGTCGTGTAGTCATATATGTACCTAAGGTATTAATGTCCAATTCATTTTACTATTCTTCCTACCCATCTTCATTTTCCTTTGCCTAATTCAAAGTACTTCCATTCTTCTCTAACCATCCCCTCCCCTTATTGTGAATTAGCATTTGCCTATCAGAGAAAACATTCAGCCTTTGATTTTTGGGGGGGATTTGCTTATTTCACTTAGCATGATATTCTCCAGTTCCATCCATTTACTGGCAAATGCCATAATTTCATTCTTCTTTAAGGCTGAGTAATATTCCATTGTGTATATATACCACATTTTCTTTATCCATTTGTTGGGAGCTACTTGTTGGAGTTACGTATGGACTGTTGTGCATTGTAGCCTAATGAATAGGGAATTCTGGTGTCAGGGAACTTCTAGTGGACATTTCCTCTGTGGAAGACTGCCCAGACACATTGTGAACCCTATTCAAGCTTTGCCACATCCCACACAGCACTGGAGATGGGGTTGACCTGCTAAGATGCCAATCAACCTGCTGACTGCAAGATGTCAGGAAGTAAGACTCCATCCCTGAAACCTTACCCCTACCTTTGATGTACTCCCTTAAATAAACCAAGGGAGCCATTTTCTAATTGTGTAGCTCCAGATCCTATGTGGACTGGACCTATCAGGGGGTCCAGCTCCTTAAAACTATTCTTTCCGACTCTTTGTTTTTTGTTCTTCACTAATTATTCTAGACTTTAATTTCTCAGGAGGTTTATTCGTCTGAGCAGGCAAGAATTCCCTAGCAGAGATGTTGGTCACCCTGTGATATCCATTCATCTGTTGAAGGGCACCTAGATTGGTTCCATAGTTTAGCTATTTGTGAGTTGAGCTGCTATAAAAACTGATATGGCTGTGTCATTGTAGTATGCTGATTGTGGGTCCTTTGGGTATAAACTGATGCTTTCAATAATTTTTAAGAGTAAAGTTTTGAGAATTGCTATTTTTGTAGCATAGAAAAATATTCAAAATAATGCACAACTAACTTTTTTTTTCTAAAGTACATGATAGCAACAGTGAGAAGGTTGAACATTTCTTTCAATTACATGGTAAAGATTTAAGTATAGCAATTAAAAAAGAACTCTGATGACCAAAAATATTAGAGGATATAGAAGATATGTATTCTACCAAAGTGATCAGTTTTTTGTTTGCTTTATTTTTTTTCGCAACAGAAATTTTGCGATTGTTTTATAGTTGCATAGTTAAGCAGAACCTGCATTTAAATTCTACATTAATGATTTTGTGTAGTTCTTATAATTTTATCATGACACTAACACTTGTAATTATTCATCTGGAAAATGTAGGGTGCTACCTTGTTTCATTTTTCTCCTCATTTATTCCATTCTCTTCTTTTGCCATCTGGATTATATGCTCCTTAAGGACATAGACCATATTTTACTGTTCTTTTGCCATTTGTGCGAAGTAATAGAATCACTTTGCATTATACTCTCTAAGCACTCAATGGCTTATTGAATTATTAATGTTTCAGTTTAAATAGATAGGAGTATTGACTTTTGTGTACATAAAAATGTTGAATGCATTATATCTTAACATGACCTCCCAGTCTATGTCTGTTTTTGCCTAGTTCTATTCTCCTTTGTTTCCACCTATCGAGCCTATAGTCTAATAAATAGTATGAACTTGAAGGATAGAAAACAAATGTGTCAACTTGAGATCTTGGTCTGTATGTTAAAAGCATTCCTTATCCCTATGCTATTTACCATGCAATTGTACAATAATCATGTCAATAAATGCTGTTGAGATAATTTTTAAAGTTCAAATTTTTGTAGCAATCTCAAATCTGTCATCATAGACTTTATAATGTATGTATTAGTTGTCAGGGTTAAATGGACTTTGACTTACGGAGGCAATACTTGAATCATTTAATATAGCTATCCTTGTATTTTGTAAAAGATGATACAAACATTTTGGAAAATATTATTTCAGTCAATAATTGCTCTTACAGATTTCTACCTACTACATTTAAAATAATTCACTTGTGATATTTAATGAAGTGCCTAAATGAATAGATTCTAGAATTTCTAAAAATGATAATGGAAGATTTTCTAAGTCAAGGTTATCTACATCCATCAATAAATCTTTAAACCATCAGATGATGCTATTGTGGCTCACAGATGCAGTGCCATAGTTCTCTCCTGACAGTTTGCCTTGGCAACCCATATAACTCATTGGTATGAGCTGAGTTTTTCCTGGGTAGTCTGTAAAAAGCAGAGGAGAAAAAGGAAGCCAGAATGGGAAGCACATAGAAGTTGGAATGACCTATTGTATTTTGAAGATTATGATAAGTGAAATTTGGATTATGGCCATGTTACAGGGCAAGTTTGCAGTGAAAGATCTCATTGATCTTGATGATATATTCAGGATAAGAGTGGTGTTTCAGGAAGATTAGTATGGTAGTAACATGCCTAGTGTACTGCAGAAGGGAGGCAACCAGAAACAGGAGTGCTGTGTGAGCAGCCTATGCAGAAGCAGTAAGAGCCCAAACTCAGGGTGTTGCTGTGGAGATGGAGACCAGATGGTAAATTTGACAGGCATTATGAAAAATGAAATTTATTCCCTTATTCAACAACTATTTATTAGATACTATATGCATTTATGCTAATAATATTTGAACTAACTTGGCCTGTAATTGTTATATAATTTTATTTTAAAAACTATGATTTCAAAAAATGTATTATGTACACTGGTGGCGAAGTTCTTAATATTTTCTGGGAATTTGTGATGTTAAAAATAATGAATGTTGAGAACCTTTCTTAAATGAAAAGCAAACATTTTCCCCTTAATTTTCCTAACTGTTCTATGGTTTATTTGATTAACAAGTTGAAAGGCAGCTACTTAATCACGTATGTAAGAAATCCTTTGGCAAGAAAATGGACCAGAGGGCTTTATTTTTAAAGACAGCTTATATTTATATTCTTGAATGATTATGAATGTTCTAGAAGTGCATAATAAAAGCCATTTCTCTTCACTCGTGCAATGAAATTATCACTTTATATTATAGTTTTAAACATTTGTAAATGTGATTTTTATATCAAGCATGCTAGAGAAGGTTGTTTGTTTAAAGGAAACTGAAAAGTACTTTAAGTTCAAGGTCATTTCTTTGGTTAAAGCCAATGATACAAAATATGTATGAATCCAAAATATGTAAAAACCACATTAGAATATTTTTATAAGTAATATTGGCTAATGTATAATAGTTTTCATGTTGGAATAAAGGCAAAAGGGCAGAGTGAGGCAATGGAAGTATGTTCAATTATTCATCATTTTACAAGTAATTGATGCCTTGGTTTGTTGATGAGAAAGTTAAATGTGAAAAATTTACCATTAATGGCATTGTCTTCAGTTACAATAAGCAGAAATACTTTTTTCTTACCTTTATAATTGCAAATAAATTGCCCACATCATTGTTTTTATATTCTCTCCATTAGATCCTAATGAAAACCTGGCTTTTGATGATTCTACTTCATTGAAATTATTTTGCTTTCTGCATTGTCTTCCTGGACAATCATATTCTTTGTGGTAATTGATTTTTATACATATTTACTATTTCCTCATTGGTAAATCTCCTATTATATATTTCAGAGATTTCTATCTTAAGGCTGAATCTGGAACCTTTCTCTGCATAGACCCCTATTTCTTTCCCATACTAAACATTAAGATTTGGATTTTTATCATGGATAGTTACTTAGTGTGGGCCCCCTATGCCTAGACTATGTCTACTTTGGGAATCTTTATTTATTGTTATTGCACTAACTATTACTTATATTGGTATGACTTTACAACATGTCACTGGAATTTCTTTAGTTTTTCTCTAGTATGAATTTCCCGGATTCTAAAACAACTTTTACTGCATGTTATAATATCAACAACTGTGTTGGCATTTCTTTGCTGTGACAAAATATCTGAGTAAAATAACTTAAAGGAGGAAAAGATTTATTTTGGCTCATGGTTTCAGAGGTTTCAGTCCATGGTCAGCTGGCTCCATTGTTTCTGGGTCAGTGAGTATATCATGGTGGTGGAAGGGCAGGGCAGAGGAAAGCTGCTCAGCTCATGGCAGCCAGGAAGCACATGGAGAAGGAGAGAGAAGGGACGAGGGACCAGAGTCCCTAAGGGCATGCCTGCAAGGAACATTCCCTCTAACTAGGTCTCATCTCCTAAAGTTTCTACTGCCTTCCAATAATGCCATCAAATTACAAATCACTGAATGGGCTAATCCATTGATGAGGTCAGAGCCCTTGTGATCTAATCATTTCCAAAAAATCCTGAACATTGCTGCATGGGGGACCAAGCCTTTAAAACAAGAGGTTTTGGGGGAACATTTGAGATCCAAACTATTAACAACTACTTTGAAGAGTTAAGTAATGAGGTAAATGTGGTGTTTAAAACTCAGAAGCTAGACATGGTGCATGCCTGTAATCCCAGCTAGTGAGGAGGATGGCAAGTTTGAGACCAGTCCAGGCAACTTAGTGAGACCCTGACTCAAAATAAAAACAATATCATTGTCTTCCTGGAGATGGAGATGTGTCTCAGTAGAACACTTGCTTAGTATGCGTGAGGCCCTGGGTTCAAACTAGTAAAGATCTATAATTTTGTTCACTTATTCATTCTCTGGACAATGTTTATGATTCTGTTATATGTAAACCAATTTAACAAGGTTTCATTATAACAGGTGTTAAAAAATTGATTGGTTAAATACATGATAAGAGTAGCCTTATTTGAAAAGAGTTTTTACAAAAATGGTCTTCTTGTTTTGCTGATTCCAAGCCTAGTATGAACACTTTCTGTGATACTTGATTGCTAAGGAAGGTTATACAATTTTAGGTTTTCTTGATAGACGTGTTATAGCCTGATAGCTTGTTAGATTTCTTCTGAGCTGTTACATTTGCACTAGATGCTAGATATGTTTACCTTTTCTGCTCATATAAAGACTCTTCTAAATAAAACTGTATCTACATGATCCTGTACTTTTGTTCTCAAATGTTGGCCCAAGGGGAGACATCTATTTCAAGGACAGGCCATCTCTGGACTGGCCAGTTTTAGTCACACTCAAAATAAAGAACTGGCCAAATCAGAGATTTATATAAAGAATTTGGAGTTGGGAAATTGAGAAATACAGGTTTGCTGCAGAGGAGAATGTGGGCCTGGAACAGAAAAAAGGTCATGATAGGATTAGAATAACCACCATGGGCCATAGGAAAGTGTCTTATAGTCAGCTTTTTTCACCGCTGTGACTAAAAGATCTGACAAGAACATTTAGAGAAAGAAAAGTTTATTTTGAGGCTCAGAGTTTCAGAGATCTTAGTCTATCTGCCAACTCCATTTCTCCAGGCCCATGATGAGGCAGATTATCAGGCAAAGAGTGTTAGAGGAAACCAGCTTTGGACATGGCAGGAGAGAGGAAGAGAAAGAGGGAGACACACCCTTCCATGACCCACCTCCTCCAGCCACACCCTACTTGCCTACCTATTAGTTACAGTTAATCCCTATTAGGGGATTAATTCACTGATGGGTTATGTGGACCGTAATCCAATCATTTCACCTCTAAACCTTCTTGCATTGTCTCACATATGAGCTTTAGGAGGACATGTATCTAAACCAAAAGAGCAGGGTAATTGAGAAACTAGTCAGCAAATAGAGAGTGCACCCAACAAAGCAGAGAAGTCACAATAAACTGGCTACCTTTAGAAAACAGATCCGGGTTTTAGTTTCTAGCTTTAGGTCCAGTTTCCTTAAGTCCTCATTATGCTACAATTCCTATCGTTAGATTTCTGCAGTTTTTAAAAATATATATACAATTATTCTCTCCCACTTTTTTTGAGCTAGCATTCAAATAGCCTTGACTAAAATCATATGCAATTTATTGACGAATTAGATTTCTCTGAGCTAAGAGGTTCCAGAATGGTGAGATGAGCACTTTTTTTTATTGATATTAGAATAATGCATGCCTGAGTGGTTCAGTAATTTCTTTAAAGCATTCTGTTCCATACCATAGTTTGTGATGGGCTTTATGACCTGTGGTTTCCTAATGGAGTGGAAATGTGTTTCTTAGTTTCATTGTACCAATTTTCTTGTTTCTATCTTATCCCTCCATTTTGTGGAATGGATGGCTTTGTAAACCCCCAAATTTAGGATTAATTTGAATTCATTTTACATAGAATTATGTTCTGGATTTTGCCATCAAATTAATAAAAATCATCCCTTGGGAAAACATCTACATTGTGGAAACAACCTATATGTTCATCTGATGCTTTGAGTCAGTATGAGTATTGGACAAATGAATTTTATGGTCTTCTACATATGTCCCTATCTATAACATTAAAGTACTGCATTGTCTGTAAAAATGTCTAATTGTAGCAAGTATTGCTTTACATTGCATATCTTAGTCAATTTGCTTTTGAATAATTTATTTTTATGGACGGTTGTAGGATAAGCAGGGACTTTAGAAATCTTCTAGTTTCCCCCCTAATTTTTATGAGTTTTTCTTAAACCTAGAAAGAGAAAAAAACAATCTATCATTTTGAAAATGTTATTTTCTCTCAATAGCCCATCTTACACTGAAGTTCTCAGTGATAAGGATTATTGATTATTAATTATTCTATCAAACCTGAATTCCTTATTGTATTTACATTTTAAAAGGTTTTAAAAATATTAATTATATTGAAAATTTAAAGATCTAATACCAGAAAGCAGAAAAATCCAGATGAAACAATTTTTCTTAACTGAAAATTTAAATAAAATCATTTGACATTTCAGGAAGATTGTATTCTAGGGAGCTAGCATCAAGATATATATGTATTTAGATTATTTATGCTTAATAAAAAGCTTTTATATAATATCGTGGCAATTGTGATTGCTTCCTCCACTGATTAAGTATAACACTTATGACAAGATGATTATTAGCCAGTGAGTTTTCTTTTGTTCTGTGGCCATGGTTCTCTAAACTTTGAATTCTAGCCAACTGTTTCATAATGTCTGTCATTATTGACAATAGGGATCAAGCAAAAAAGTACACATGAGAAGAATGTAATCACCTTTATTGGACAATTTAGGAATTATGTCGTGTTTACAAAGGGTTTTATTACAAGTTTTCAGAGAAAAGTCTAACTCCTTGATGGGAGGGACCATCTCTTTGATCAATCTAATGCTCTCCATTAGGAGTTACCGTAATGCTTTGCACTAAGCCGATCTGTCCAAATATTTGGTTAAGATAGTTCTGTTGCTGCCTAATAAACTATCCTGAAACTTAGTGGCTTCAAATAGCAACTATTTATTATCTCTTAAAAATATGAGGCTGACTAAATTTAGCTGGGCAGATATTCTACTTGTTGGTAGCAGAAACTGCAATCATCTATCTGGAGGTTTGACTCGGCTGGGAGGTCTAAGATGTTTCAGTCCCATGGGCGGCACGTAGTGCTGTTCTCAGCTGGCAGTTCAGCAGGCACCTCAGCTGTTTTCCCTGCAAGCTTCTGTGGTGGTTTGGGCTTCATATAGTGTGCCCACTGGATTCCCAGAGGGATACATGCATGAAGGTGGAAGCTGCAGATTTCTTAAGGCCTGGCCTCAAAGGTTTTCTGGCACTGTGTTCATTATGTTCTTGTGGGAAATTAGTTAATTAGTTAAGAGGATCCATCTAGATATCAACATGGTTATTGAAAAATACTTCTTTCTAAACTCCTATTAGAGTTCAAATCAGATATTCTTCTGAAGTTCTAGAAGATTTGAGAAGAACAGGAAGATGGAAATAAGAAGAGGGATTGTTATCTTTCCTTCTATTACTCTAGCTTTCCCAACAGAAAAACACTGGGCTAGTTGTCATAGTACACTGAAATCCCAATGTGATCTTATCCATGGGTTGTGCAAAAGATGATTTAGTCAAAGAATGTTTCCCTGAGTAAAAACTTATGTTCACTTTTTGATAGCCAGATACTTGTTTTTTTTTTTTTTATTCAGAGGAGAAAAGACCTATGCAATGGGCTTTGGGAAAGACTCCCTACACCTCTCTTACTAGCCCTGTAAATTATATTGCATCTCCCTGTGCCTTGAGCAGAAGCTTTATTTGCTCAAGGGCACAGGCCTGCCATGAGGCATTCAACAACCCCTCATTTCAAGAAATAGCACAGATTCCTTGTTCCTTCATGAATTCCTGCTTCTTCATAGGACTCTTTAGTTGATCTGTCTGTTTCTAAACAACAACAACTACAACAACAAATACCTAAGATGGTATCAATATTGTTCTGTAACATAATTTGGACATTTCTTTCTCTTCTGTTTTCCTGAACTTCACCTGAGAATTTTATTAATCTGACAGCACTTAATTTAAACACTTCAATGGCTTTATTGCATAGGACAGAAATTTTAAACTTCGTGTTATGTCATAATCTGTGTATAGAAATTTGGTTATTCTAAATTTATAGAAGGTTGATTTTCATAATACACAAGGCAAATGGATACAATTTTTTGTTGTTGTAGTTTATAGTTAATATCACACAATAAAGAAGATAATGTAAAATAATAGTAGA